TTATTTAATAAACAATCAAATCGTGAGACAAAATCACGAGCATCTTCACCGGCGCCTCCTCCGACGCCTTCTCCCAAATCTCCATTATCCCCTTCAGTCTCACCATCGATGTTACCCACATTATTTCCTTCTGCAAATAGTAGACCTTTATCACCTATAACTTCACGAAATTTCTCGCGCTCACAATCGCCTCAATCTCCCCCAATAACACCGAAATCCTCACAACGCCCGAATCGTCCTAGAAGAGCAACAGACTCTCTTGTTCCTATGAGCCCAACATCGGCAACATCAGAAGCTGAAAAGCAAAAAAAGATGCAGGAATTCGAGGCCTTGATAGCAGAACCAGAAGTAAAATTGAAAAAAAAGCGGTCACAACAAACAAGTATCCCAGTTCCAAAAACTACTCATAATATCAACAAGTCAACAATAACGACTGCAGCGACTTCCACTTCACATAATAATAAGAACCCTCCTATTGCTAATTCTACTCTTGGTTCCTCTGCTTCGAGTTCTAGAACAGGAACTCGGAACAGACCAATCGAAACGAGGCGAACGCGCAAAGACATTCAAATTCCTCAAGCTCTTATACCCGGGAGAAATATTGAAGCGAACACACGCAATTTATGGGTGATTGAACCCACCGTACCAGAAGCATCATCATCAACGTCAACGTCCTCATCATCATCCGAGGAAAGGATTTCTGAAGACAGAGGATCTATTGCGATATCAATTGCAGATTCTGTTGCGCCTTCAATTGTGGAGTCGATCGCGGAATCGTTTACCATTCATTATCGACCTGAAGAACATGAGGAGCTTGGAAAGGGAACACGTGGCGAGGATGGTGTTATACGTGTGACTTTGACACCAGCAGTCTGTCGATGACACCGCTACAATTACTATTGAATTGTAATAGTAATATTATTGTAAATTATTTTTTCTGTTAGCATATTCGATTATTTGAGGCTGGGGTATATTTCGGTCGGTCAGTGTACCATTATTTATTATTACTATTCATCATCATTATTATTTTTAATTAATCATTAATTCTTTTGGATAATTGGGAGAAGGCGTCGGAGGAGGCGCCGGTGAAGATGCTCGTGATTTTGTCTCACGATTTGATTGTTTATTAAATAA